TAGTCCCCACCTAGTGTGAGGGATACATAGAAAGTACTTTGTTGATGTTCAGGATTTTAAAAAATCTCATATTTCAAAATTTCTACTCAGTTAAGAAGTTCTTTCCTTTTCTAAATGTTATTCTATATCAAGTCTTTCTTTGATACTTTGTAGTGACCCCGACACCTCTTTCTTTGGTGAGCATCTAAACTAAGTGTTCCTGCCACAAAGTTAGCCCTTTTTTAATTAGCCTGGGTCCCAACCAGGTCTTCCTCTGGAGAAGGAGAAAAGAATGAGAGAGCTTGCATTGAGATGTGATGTCTTCCACTTGGACCCTGTCAATCCTGGGCAGTGGGCTTTTCAAGACTCCAACCCAGACCAGCCTGCAATGAAATGATCTACAATCAGGTACTTGTTGCAGCTTTAAATCTGTCACCAAATCCTCAGACCAGAAGAATTCCCAAAGGCCAAACTTGACCTTGAGCCAACCTGAGTTCAGGCCAGGTCCAGAATTACACCATATTTCAATTGCTTCTCCAACTCCCGCCCCTCCTTCTTGGCTTCCCAGAGACCAATTATTTAATGGCCTCGAGGGGTTCAAATCTAAAGAATGATACAGGTATAATTATTATTTTAATGATAATTTAATTATGATTTAAATTTAAAATACTAGAGGATTATTATTTTGATTTCTACCTGATTTAACTGAATTTTATTACAGTGTGATTGAGAGGCATGGCCCCAATATTCATCTCAAAGCAAAGGACTCTGGTATATGGGCCAGTGGTGCTTAGCCAATAGGTTAAGTGTCTCCAGATTTCCAGGTATTCCTTACCCTTATCTAGTCTCTGTTGCATGAAACCTCTGAAAACTTTGAAGCTAAGGTCTGAATTTGATCTTGAAGATTACTTAAACTTCCAGAGTCTCACCTGGATGGACAAGACAGTTGTACAGAATGCCTGTTAAGATTTCCATGCAGGCCACATAACCTATTAATATTCATTGGTTGAGGTATGGAGAGTACCAACCAGGGTTGCAGTCTTACTGCTTCAATTACTTTTAGTTGGGCATTTAGAAAATGATGAGTTCTACTTGATACATTCAATTCTGAAATACCTTGGCATTATTCAATTATTTCTTCATTTAATAAATATTTAACAAACACTATATATAGGAGGATTATGGAGATACAGTGGGATTAGGGTAATGAGAAAGACATACATGTTTCTGCCTTCATGGAGCTTACTATGTATTGGGAAATGTAGACAATAATCAGAGTAAGAAATAATGAGTGTTGCAAAAGGATAACCACAGGATGCTAGAAAGCATTTATCAATCCAAGCACAGCTCTTTAATGTTGGGTAACTATCATTTTTAGGCTTTTATTCTGTGCCTGGCAACCACTGAAGCAAATATCCAATTCTGCGCCTCCTTTCCTGAGAGTAACTAATTTGTCCTGGTTTATCCAGGACTTACTTGATTTTGGCACTAAACTTCCCCAGTCAGAGAAAACCCTCAATCCTGAGTAAACCGGGATAGGATTGGTTAAACTTTTTGCCTCAGAGAAAATTTGGAGCAGAGTTTTCTGGCAGGGGGGGGTGTTGATTTTTTGGGAGGGAAAAACCTCAAAATTAAGGGAGTGGGAGAGAGTAGCAGAGAGTCTTTTTCAAAGTCCCCACTGTTTTGACACTTGCAACAGTAGTTGGACTTTCATCAGTAATGATAGTAATGTTATCCTTGCAAAGGGGACGTTGAAGCAGGAATACAGAGTCCAATTCTCCTATTAGGACATGAGTTCCCAGAAGGAGAGAGGATAGTCTACTCCTTTTTGAAGCCTACATCATTTTTACCACATAATTTGTATATTTTTGTCATGTAATAAAAGTTATTCAGTTGTCAAAATTTAAAAAATTAAAATTCAACACCAATTTTACTACATGTCTACTTTGTCCTGGGCCCTGACCTAGGTGCTCCCATATGTTATCTCCTTCAATCTTACTACATCTTCAGATTTGTGTTAGGATAAAGGCTAAGCTGCTATAAAAAAGATATCTCAAAATACAAGATTAATCAAGGCATCAGTTTCTTTTTGTGAATATTCAAATAATGTTCCAGATGATGGTCCACTAAACAAGTCCAAAGCTAGTTTGCTGGCTCTGCCACCTTTAACATGTGGCTTCCTGAGTCCACATGGCTACTCTGGCCAAGAGGTAGAGGAAAAAGGCCAGACAAGCACATCCAAACTTGCTGAAACACAACCAGAAGTGGGAGAAAAGCATTTTGTTCACATCTTATTGGCCAGAATTTAGTTACATGGTTATAATAATATGCAAAGTGTGCTTGGAAATGTAATTTCTAATTTGACAGCCATCTATCCATCTAAGACTGGCAATTCATATTATTAAACAAGGGAAAAGGCATATTGATGGGCAAGTCTCACAAAACACCTCATACCTATGGATGAGTATCTTAGTTCCGAAAGATGTGGATTTCTTGCCTGGAGAGGTGCTTTGTTTTGTCAGTGCATTTAGAATTAAGTTGGCTCTGAAAGGCTACCTCAACTTATAAGAGTTTGGCATATTAAAAAACAAAACAAAACAAAACAAAAAACCCACAAAACATACCAAACAAGCAATTTCTTAATTTCCAGTGGAGGAAAATACATATCAGTAACTAGAATGTTTATGTTCCCTATTCAAGCTAAGAGTTTCCTGATATGTAGCTCTTAGAAGACCACATCACAGTATATGCAAGCATATCCTGAGCATCTAATCTGGGCCACAGGCTGTGCTAGACATTTTTTACAGATAATCTAATTTGATCTACATCCTCAATTTGATGAGGTAAGGACCATTTTGACCATTTTACAGGAAAGAAAATTTAACAGCAGAGAGGTTATGTAGCTAAAATATGATGAGGCTGGTGTCTGAATCCAGATCTGATACCTGAGTGGTTGCTTTTCCCACTACATTCTACTGCTTAAGTGGGAGCTTTTGTAGTATCTTCTGGATATCTATGGTGATGTTTTTACTGCTTGTGCCTCTTTGTATAGATTTTGACTATAGCATTTGTTGCAGTTCTTATTATGGAAGGCTATCTCTTCCAGCCTCCCTCCATCTCCTGGTATTTATGGATCATACCTTAATCATTTTACACAATTGAGGCCAGCACAGGGCCTAGTATTTGTTACATGATTAAATAGATTATTAAATTAGTAAATTAAAACCTCCCTTCACCATAGTTAAAACCAGACCTTTTGGGGTACCCATTCCCTAATTGGAGAGCTAGATGATGTTTTATATCCTTTTTAATCCCAATTTCTTTTATGATGAGTAAATGATAACAGAATCAGCACAGCCAAAACTAATGCATATAAATTGAATTTCTTTTTCTTTTAATTTATTGATTTTTTTTTTTTTTTTTTTTTTTTTTTACAGAGAGGAAGAAAGGGGGGGAGGTAGAGAGTTAGAAACATTGATGAGAGAGAATCATTGATCAGCTGCCTCCCCCCCACTGGGAATGCGCCCTCAACCAAGGTACATGCCCTTGACCTGAATCGAACCTGGGACCCTTCAGTCCGCATGCCAATGCTCTATCCACTGAGCCAAACCAGTTTCAGCTGAATTTATTTTTCAACACTCCAACTAAATAAAATGCTTCTGCGGACCAAATTCTTTCACCAACTGCAAGTTCTCAAACTACAGGGGCCTGTAATCTATATTTTCAGATGAGTCTTCAGAGGACTCATTATCAGGCAATTGGAAACACTGAGACAGGTATGCATGAATTCTTCATAAACTATAAAACGTGGTACTATGTGAGGCATTATTGTGGAGTAAGGGTAATAATCCCTGCTGTCTTTGCCACACAAGGTGATTTAAATTTTTTTTTTTTTTAAAGCATTGCTTTGTAAAATTCAGGAACTAAAGCTATCAGACCCAGAGGCAACCTCTTCTTGATCCTCATCGCAGGAGTGGACTGGGTGGGTAGAAAGTTCTATAAGCTCTATAGGGCAGAGAAAGGCACAGGTAGCTTGGAAAAGATCCTTTCCACTTTTTGCCTTTCCAGTATCTCAGAACCTGGGCTGTAAGCTGTGCTGGTGCAAAACACCAAGGTCCCTCTCTTCCTTCACTTATTCATTCTAAGACCTCTTCTGTCAAGAGAGAAATCTGACAAAGAAAGGAACATAGATTCCAGTCACACCTTAAAAAGATGGCTGGTTCTTCCTGAACCCCTGGATTTCTCCTGACACCAGCCCAGACATGAGTTCTTTGACAAGACCCTGCTTTCCAAGAGACCCCATTTCTTGAACCTCTCCTGACTTGTTTGCTTATATCAAAATCTATTGGTCCAGGCTTCTGTTCTTTTGGAGTACTAGTGTGGCAGATCAACAAGATAAATTATATTTAAGGCACTAAACTAAGAGCTTCCAGAAAGCAGATTTGGGTTTATTTATTTATATGCCTCTGATCCTAGATTCTGGGTCATATTTGAAGGATTGAGATGGAACTCATTTAAAGTTAAATGTGGAAAAGGTAGCTGGCATTTCAATAGCTCCCTTTATTCATTCAACAAATATTTGAATATTTACTATGTGAAGGACATATTCTAAGAAGAAATATAGGAAATTTTCAAACTTTGAACTTCAGCATTACTTAGAGTGCTTGTTAAAAGTTCTGACTCATAGATTCTGATTCAGGTCTGGATTGGAACTGGTTAGAATTTGCATTTCTAACCAGTTCCCAGGTAAAGCTGATGCTGCTGGTTTGAGGGCCACATTTTGAGAACCACTAATATAGGTCCTGGCAGGCATCAAGTCCCTGACCTCACAGGACGCAGTCTAGTTGGCTATGCCAAAAAGACTAAAGGTGGAGATTTCAGAAATATTGTCAGGTCAGCGGAGGAGGCACCGAAACCCTTAGCTGCTGTCTGTGCCTGCCACCCCAGTCATCTACCAACTGAGAAGTTAGATGTGTTGGGCAGCCTTGAAAGCAGCGGGCAGCTCCTCGGGTCAGGTTTGGGAGGTGAGCAGAGGGTGCGCGCTGGAAGCCTGAGGCCGGGGACATTCCTCGGACAGGCCTCGGCGGAGAGCAGAGGAAGTCGCCCTCTCCCTCCGCGGCCCCGCCCGCGCCTGCTCTCCGCCTGCGTCCGGGGCGGTGGCGGCAGCGGCGCGGGGCGGGGCGCCACGACCCCCCTGCCTCCTCTGCCCCCTGGTTGTAGACGCTGCAGCCCGAATATCTCGGCCTTGAGGCGCCGCAGTGCCGACCGGCCCGCGAGCCATGGCCCAACCCGGCGAGGAGGCTCTGCCCGGGCCCACGACCGCGGTGCAGATCCGCGTTGCCATCCAGGAGGCCGAGGACGCGGAGGAGCTGGAGGAGGACGAGGAGGGCGCAGAGGCGCGCGGCGCGGGGCACCCGGCTCGGTACCTCAGCCCCGGCTGGGGCAGCGCTAGCGAGGAGGAGCCCAGCCGCGGGCACAGGTAGGCGCGGCGGCTGCAGGGCCGGGTGGGAGCTCCAGACCCCTGGTCCGGCGGATGGGAGTTCGGGGGCGACCGCTCAGCGAGCGGAGGGGGTTGAGTCAGTGCTGCCCCGGGGATGCTGCTCCGGGTGTCGCACAGTATCAGAAGGGCTTGTGGCCGTCCTTGTGCCAGGGTCCGCAGCTCTGTAACGCGATCAAGGCTCCCTCCCTGCCAGGGATGGTGGCGGGGATCCGAGGGGCCTGTCCGTGGACATGGTCTGGGACCCAGAAAGAAGTCCTTCCTGGGCTATCTCTCCCTGTCCTCTCCTTCCCGAGCTTCTAAAAAGCCCAGCCTGACTTTTACTCTAGAGGGTGTCTCCCTCCCCACCCCCAACCTTGTTCCAGGGATTCCAGCAAATCATCACTGCCCAGACTGTTTATCAATCCAAATGGCTTCCCTCTCTGGGTGGGGTCAGGCACAGGGGACACTTGCTGCTGTGGGATCCTAGGAGGGGTGAGTTCATGGTGTAGAGAGCTCTGTGGCCCTGATTTGGGATCCGTTTAGGGCTTACTGCCTGTATCCTCCCTTGCTGGGGATTCCAATTTTCACATAGTCTTCCCCACCTGACTTCTATGCTTGCATCATCTTCTTGCTGCCTTGGCGTTGGGTTCCTGGGTCCTAGGTAGTCTGGAGCTGGTATGGCACAAGAAGCCACCTGCCTAACCATGCCTCTGGGCCCTGAACTTTGCCATCAACTGGAGATCTTATCCTTGTGTCCAACTAATGCCCAAGCCTTTTAGGACTGTGGTTTTGTTCCTGCTATCGAAAGGAGATACAGTATTGAGTATCCATAGAAATGAGAATAGGGAATGGCAGAACTTGCAAATTCTGGGAAATGCCAACAGGCACATATTAAGAGCCTTCTTCTAAGACTCTTTGCACATGCTTTTAGCTGTTAGGGCTCTGCAGGATTATTCTGCGGCAGGCATAAATCTTTTTTATTTGAAGAATAGTCAGCTCAAAGGCATAAAGAGACTGGGACCAAAGCTATCCCCCATCACTCACTGACTCTTTCCCAGTGAAAAAGTCTGGATTTGGGAACCCCGAGATTCAGGGTGGTCCAGTGGAGGCAGGGGTATTTGAGGAGGAAAGCTGGGCCACAGCAGATGACATAGTAGACATTTCAGCACTTTACATACTATGGAGTCTGATTCATTAATTCAGCTCTGCTGAGTACTGAGAGTATAAAAATACTGACTCCATAGTCACTGGATCTCACAGTGTTCAGGAGAAGGCAGCCACCTAGTCAAATAATTTCAGAGGTCATTATAATAGCTCTGAGTGGTTTATCCTTCTCACATTTATTTTGCCTCTGGTTAGCAAAAAGTTGTCCTCTATCCTGGGGCTAACACAGTACCATTAGCATGGAGTAAAGACCTACTTATTTTGGGGGCCCAGAAAGATCCCCTATGGGATCTAGAGAACATGATCCTCAGTTCTTGTAGGCCTCTTGCCCTCACCCTCCTCACCTTCTCTGCAGAACCGCCTTTTTCTCCCAGCTCCAGTCCAGTGGCTCGAGTCTGATAAAACACTCAGTCAGAAGCATTTTCTGCTGCCCACTGGCATAGAGTTGACCCCAGAAAAATCTCTGAGGCTCTTCAGGGTAGTGTAGCCAACAGAACCCAGCAGACATTCAGAGCACAAGGAGATGCAGCCAAGGACGGGATGCACACTGTCCCTCATTTGGGCCCAGCCTGGCACCGGAGAAGCTGCCACTCTGGGAGAATGTCAAGTGCATTCTCCAGGCACTAGGGTCCCAGAGCCTGCAAGAGGCAGCCCAGGTATCTGACCCTCTAGGTCCCTGAACACAGGGTGCAGTTTGTGTCTGTATGCCTTTGTAATTACGCCTCTAGGTCCCTCTGGTTGATGACTTCTAGTCAGCCTGGAAGCTTTACTGCCTCTTCCTCACTACCCCCATCCTGACCCCAAAACCGGATTTGTTTCCTCTCCTTTGTGTTGCTGTAGCCATAGATCCATTTTAGTCCGAGCACTTGCCCACAATTACAATTCTAGAGTTCCATATCCCTCAGCAGAAAATGAGCTTCGTGAATTCAGGGACCGTGCTTGCCCTGTTCTCAGTACCTGGCATATAGTGAGTATTTTCCAAATATTTGTAGAATGAATCATGTCTCTGAGGTCAGAATCACTCTATGGGGTTGAAGTATATGTGTTTCTCCTCACTAGATAGTGAGGTCCTTGAAGGCAGTGATCTTGCCTGAGTCCTTTCAGTATCTCCAGTATCTCACCCAATACCTGGCTTATACCCAGGGACAAGGGATAAATGGAAAAAAGGAAAAATCTTTGTAACCTCCAAATGTTCATTAGTCTTCTCACATCTTGTTCACTAAAAAGTTACTTTCCTTTTATTATCACCTTTTAACTTAAAAATTTCAAACATAAAATGTGAAACAATAGTACAGTTGGAAATATTTTTGTCATTTATTTGATGGATATATAATGTGTATGGTTTTTTCTGAAGCATTTACAGATATCTGGTACATAAGACTTATACCTTACATACTTAATAATGCTCTTAATAATGACATTGTTCTATAAAGCCATAATATTATTTATTGCAATTAAGAAAATTAACAATTGCCTGCCCTAGCCTGTTTGGCTAAGAGGATAGAGCATTGGCCTGTGGACTGAAGGGTCCCAGGTTTGATTCTGGTTGGGAGCACATGCCTGGGTTGCCAGCTCGATCCCCAGTAGGGGGAGTGCAGGAGGCAGCTGATCAATGATTCTCTCTCATCATTGATGTTTCTATCTCTCTCCCTCTCCCTTCCTCTCTGAAATCAATAAAAATATTTTTAGAGTATTCTTTAAAAAGAAAATTAACAATTCCCTCATATAATCCCTAAAATAATCTAACCGTCAAGTCTCATAGCCAGGGTTCCCCCAATTGCCCCATATTGTGTTTTACAGCTGTTATTTTCCCCCTTTACACTAGAATCCAATCCAAGTTGAGGCATTTGCCTATTATGTCTTTAGAAATCTTTTAATCTAGAACATTACCACTTTTTAAAAAATGCTTTTCTATTTTGGAGCTAAGAGGCCAGATGTCTTGTTGAATGTTTCATAGTTTGAATTGGTCTGGTTGAACTTGCTCCTTTGTGCCATGTGTTTCCTGTAAACTGGAAGTTAGGGCTAAAGGCTTGATTAGATTCAGATTAGACATTTGGGCAAGAACACTTCACAAAGAATGCCATGGGTTTTTCATTGCATCTCTTTAGGCAGCATCTACCATTAGTGGTGCTAAATTTGACCTCTTGGTTAAGGTGGTCCCTCTATTGCAATGAACAAGTAATAGGTGTACTTCTTGTGAATATTCTTTCTCCAACCACTTTCTCCTAATGGTAGTAGCATGCATTGATGATCCTTGCTGGAGTCAGTTAATTTGGGATGGCAAATTGGTGATTTTCTAATTTTATCCTTTATAGTACATTTATTTGCATTCTACTGTAAAAGAGAGTTTTGTGTCATACCTAGAATTGAACAAGAGTTCCTCCTAAAGAGGCAAACAGAAATGGTTAATTATTTCCCCTTTTTTGAGTACTTCCTTACTTTCTGGTATTTTATATTCTTGACTTAAATTTACATTTTTCCTATTCCAGTCATGGGATTTAGCCATTTCCACAGGAATCTCTAGTTTTTCAAATACTAGTGGGAAGATATTTAGAAACCAAGACTTGGATTTGAGTGCTAATATCTACTGGGGCACCATTGCTTTCAGGCCTTTCAATGGACAGAGCTAGGAAATCTTTTCTTTGTTTAAATTTATATTGCTAATTCTATAATAATTTAATATTTTAAGGTTCTGCTTTACTTCCTTTAATTTTACCCTGGAACTCTTGGTTTCTAATAATATTAAACTATTTGTTTTCTTTGTCTTACAATGTATAAAATAATTTAAAATTATAATCTCTATAATAAAGAGCCAGGGTGTAACACCAGTATGACTGAAGCTCCTTATTACCGAAGCTGGACCAGAAGGGAAGTCAGTGCCGGGGCAACCCAGTGCTGACTACTTTGCTGGTAGGCCAGGTGCCCCAGCTCTAACTGCTAGGGGGCTGAGAATCAGGGTCAGAGAGAGGCCCGAAGAGAGAAACAGGACTGATCCGTTGCCTCTGTGGCAGCTTTTGAGCAGTACTTGCCTCTCTCTTTCTCTCCCAGTGTGGCCAGCAGCCGGGCCTCCATTTCTCTCCAGGACTCCACCTGAGCTACTGATTAGCCCCACCTTCTTGATCAGGCCCCATTGATAGGTCCAGAGACACTTAGTGGCATAGAAACTGACCAATCAGAACCAAATCTGGGGGCTTAGAGGTGTTTCAGTCCAGGGAAAGTGATTAATCCCGAGGCTGGCTCCAGCAATGGCCTTCACAAATCTACAGAAAGTGCTCATCAGTGACAGCCTGTATCCTTGATGCCGGAAGATCCTGCAAGATGGAGGACTGTAGGTGGTGGAGAAGCAGAACCTGAGCAAAGAGAAGCTGATAGTCAAGCTGCAGGACTGCAAAGGCCTTCTCCTTTCCTCGGCCACCAAGGTGACCATGGATGTCATCAACACAGCAGAGAAGCTCCGGGTGGTGGGCAGGGCCAGCACCGGCGTGGACAACGTGGACCTGGAGGCCGCCACAAGGAAGGGCATCCTGCTCACGAACACTCCCAATGGGAACAGTCTTAGTGCTGTGGAGCTCACCTGTGTGATGATCATGTATCTGGCCTGGCAGATTCCCCAGGCAACAGCTTCAATGAAGGATGGTAAATGGGACTGAAAATAGTTCATGGGAACCGAGTTGAATGGAAAGACCCTGGGAATTCTTGGCCTGGGGAGGATTGGGAGAGAGGTGGCCATCTGGATGCAGTCCTTCAGGATGAAGACTGTAGAGTACAACCCCATCATTTCACCAGAGGTCTCAGCCTCCTTCAGCATTCAGCAGCTGCCCCTGGAGGAGATCTGG